ACATAGCTAAAGAACTACATGCTTCGGACCCCAAGAGTCTGAAGGTATCAATAAATTCCTCTCAGGCACATAGCTAAAGAACTACATGCTTTGGACCCCAAGAGTTTGAATGTATCAATAAATTCCTCTAAGGTACATAACCGAAGAACTACATACTTCGGACCCTAAGAGTCCGAAAGTATCAAGGCACGTGTTATCGCCAAGGACAATATTAGATTGAGTCTAGTCCTGAATGGGGGCAAGTACTCTTCATAGATATCTTCCTCTCAGGCCATGAAGTTTGTCCAACTTGGCTAAATATGTTAGACAAGTTGTCCCACATCGAAAAAATACAAGAAGAAGAAAGCGTTGATATACTCATATCCTAAGCTAGTACATAACAAGAATGGTTCCCTTGATAGGTAAATCACCGAGTAATACAATAATCTCCGGTTAGTGACCTAGTTATCACGGGAACTCTTTTCTTGTTACTTATCAGTTTTTATGCCCTCGGACCATATTAAGTCTGAGGGTCCCTAAAGAGAACAAATTTTTCTCAAAGGCATGAAAACCTGCTCAGGAAAAAATGCAACTTTGAAATACTCAAGGATATAGAAATTCTTTGAAATAGATATATTAAATAAGAAAGTTAAGACAACCATTGTTCAAAAACAAAAGTACACTGGTTCAGACAAATACTACATAAATTCAATTCCTTTTGGGATCAAAAGGAATAGAATCAAAGGCATTTACTACATTTGGGCTTGAAGCTTTAGCTTGAACAACAGAAGAACTTGATACTAGAGGATTTCCCTGATGGCTTTTCACCATTTCTGCAAACAGAATCTCAGCTTCTTGAGTTACTGGACCTTCGGTATAGGGAAAAACTTCCTCCATGTCTTTATCAAATGCTTCTGGGTCCTTCAGCTTGTCACCCGAGCCCTATGCAAAGCCAAATCTGAATGCATTAGCACTTGATAAGTGCACCAGAAAAGAATAACAATCCTGCATCTGCTTCCCAGCAGTTGTGTATGTATTGACCGAGTCCTTCCAGCGTTGAATCTCGGCTTCCAATTCTTTTATCTTGACCTCAGAGGCCACAAGTTTGTTTTTATATACATCTCTGGTGTCATAAGACATCTTGACATCCAGAAGTACATTAGAAAGTTTTTTCTCTTCAGTAGAAAGATCCTTCTCTAATTTTCGGATACAGAGGGATTGAGCCTCAGCAGTAGTACACAAAGCCATGGTATGGTATAAACTCCACAAATCAATCAGAAGGCTAATAAAATATGATGACAAGACAAAAAACAAGCAGTAGTAAAGCAAAGTGACAAGATAAACCTCCATAGCACGAACATGAGCAGATAGGAGTAGCTGCTCCAGACCCATATTTCTTATTAGCTCCTCATCCTTTGGGAGCCACATTCCCCCAGCAACAGCTAGTGCAGCTGAGAGGTCTGTCACCACAGAGTCACCTGAGTGCAGAACTGACTTATCAGCCCTGGAAAAGATTGGCCTCCAGACATCTCATTTGTTAGCAAAAATGAAAGCCCTTACTTCTTCTTCAGCTTCAACTTCGCCCTTCTTCTTTTTTCCTTTGTCCAGGTCAATGACCTTGAATTTACTGACTGAAGAAGAGTTTTTCTTGGCCTTTTTCTTCAAAAGAGAATCTTCAGCCTCCTTTTCATGCTCCGTGGAGCGAATAGCGTTAAAAGGTTCTTCATTAGCCTTTTGTTTGAGGGCCTCGACTTTCTTCTTCTCCTCATCAATCAGAGGGAAGAAATCAAAAGAAGGAAGAAATAGATCTATAAGGTTAAATTCTGAACCGCCAGAAACAATTTCTTTGAGATTGGCCGAAGATAGAAGATCCTCCGCAGATAAAAGATTATGCCACACCTTCTTCCTCAAGAAGGAAAGTCTATCTTTAACCACCGAAGAGGGAAATGATGCTAAAAAAAACACCAAGAAACTCTTAAATACGACGAAAAAGTAATACATGACATGAAAAACAACCGGAACACTCCGTGTGAAAAGAAGAAAGACCTTCTATACCTCAAATCCCAAATTTTCGAGGAATAGGGAGTGTTGCATACTGAGGCACAAACCAATTCCCTCAGACAATGATCTTCCTCTCTTTTGATTTCTTCTCAGAGTTGGGAAGGTGGGTACATAGTCTTTGTTGAAGAGACGAAGTAAAGAAATAACGACCTAGTTCTGTTTCATGCTTGGAGATAATGTAGCTAGATAACAGATTAGCGAGGGTCAGGTCGATTCCTTCTAATCTACGGCGGATAAGGCAAATCGACGCTATTATAAAAAAATTAGGGTTTACTTGGAGAGGAGCAATCCCTAATTTATTAAACACTAAATGATAAAAAGGATGAAAGGGAAAACGAATAGCATGGAGATGCCCAATGGACAATAGTAGTTCATTCTCTTTGACACCCTCACCGGAACTAAAGTCAGCACCAGAAGGATACCTAGAGATCTCTACACCTTCAGGAATCTCAAATTCTTCCATTATGGAATCAACGGAGAATTTAATACGATGGACAGATAAGATCATATCCTTTTCTTCTTTAGTAAAAATCTCATCAGATTCAGAAATGGATTCCTCAGCTTGATGCAAAGAGTCATTCCCCCTTATATCGTCTAAAGTATTTACAGGGATGGAAGTTTAAGCAGGAGGAGTTCTAAGAAGAACGGGAGATGCAGAGGAAGTAGCCTTAGAATCCATATTCTGTGCTTGATCATGAATAGGTGAAGTGTTCATATTGCGATATCACTGGAAATGAAGTAAAAGATTAACTTGATACGAAGACGAAGCTGCAAAACATAGTGCAGACAGAAATGAACTTTGAAGGGGTTTGCTCGTCAGAATACCAATGGCCAATATGAAACTACCTATTCCACTTTTAGCAGTCGTGCGAAATCAATTCCCTTCTAATTAGGAGTCACATTCAATTTAGGAGGGAAATGGGAGCAAAATGTGGAGGGAAAATTCCCCCTCCAATAAAAATCATCCACGTCATTTAAGTAAGGTACAATATCATTGGTTCTCTAGTAGTCCATCAAACCCATATTTCGGTCAAGCCCAAACAAAGTCAATGTCAATCCAAAGTTGCTAGTGTTAACCCCTCGGCCCACTTGAAGTTTATCCAGCCCATTTAGATTATAATTCAAGTCCTCCTTAACAAAGGATTCTTCATAAGGAAGTTCTGGGTATGAAGAATCTTGCATGGAAAGAATTATACAAGGAAAGAGTTTTGTAGGCAAAAATTGTATATGAAATGTATTGGAGGACAAGCAAGGTGAGTCCAACCATAAATTCACTATCTTTTTGTATATAAATAGAGGCATAGACCTCCAATAAAGATTATGAGCATTACAAGCTTCTCTCTGAATTATTTTTGTTATTAGTTATTTGAGTGAGTTGTATTAATTTTTTTAGCTTTTTAGTTAAACGAATTATTTGTACCTACAACTATGTTTTTAAGAAAATAGAACCAATTTTTTTTTCAATTTTATTAATTCTAAGACTCTAATTTTATTCGGCCAAATACAATCTTTATAATATCTAGATTTATTTTCAGAAGTAATCCATAGTTATCCAAAATGACCGACGATTGACCTTAAAATTGTCATTCGGATTCAAGAACTAAATGCAAGGGTCCCATGAAAACAATAATAGCCATAGTGTCACTGTTAATTGGACCCATAAATAAATCTCAAACTTGGCTCTCCAGAATAGCCAAAGAACGATTTCGTGTTTGTATATAAAATAAAAACAATGTGAACAACCTTTCACAAACAAGAATGGATCAATTCTCATTAGTAGAGATTGCTTACTAGGATTCGTTAGGAAAATGACTTATTCTTACCTCAACAAACCAAACATGAAAAAAGAATGTTTGATTTGTCACTTAGACACTTAAGAATACATTTATCAAGAATTTTAAAAATATAAAAATATTTCTAAAAAATTATAAAAGAAAATAATCAATGGATCAATAGCCTAATGATATTAGATCCTTACTTATCAGAGCAAAGTTAGAAATTTAAGTCTTAATTTTTTTATAAAAGACAATTGTTGCAAAACAAGTCTTTTATTAACTAAAAATATGATGAGAACTTTTTTCTGAAAATTTAGTTAAAAAAAGAAATCTTTTAAAAAAATTATCTTTTTATAGTTATGTACAAATAAAATTTTATTTTTTGAGTGGCAAAACCAAACAACCCCTAAATAAATTCAAAACTACTTAAACTGAAATTTGAACAATTTCAACTGAATTCGATTGGCAGTTCTAAATATTGAGCAACTCGACTCTGCATTTAGTACAAAATAATTTTTTAATATTAAAATTCAGACTCTTTGAATACTACATGTGGTGAATTTAGACACAAATCACCATTAATAAACTAATAATAAGAATATAAAACATGAAAAGGCCACGTATGTCTTTTATCTTGGAATAGTAGTCCTACATAAGCTATACAAGTGTAATTCACGCGTTGTAGAAAGGAGTGTGGTGAGAAAAGTGAGGATGATAAATACTACATGGTACAGACTACAGGTTGAGAAAAAGAAGAGTGGTCAGTAGAAGGAAGAGAGAGGGACAAAAAAGGTAAAATGGCGGAGGTCTCCCGTACTCTTGGATTGGACATTTTTGGTAAGTTTTTTTTGCTTTTGTTTCCATTATTCCCTCACTTCCTTTTCTCAGACCAAACCCGACCCAACCAAACTCCAAACAATAATTCCCACTTTTTTTTCTCCCCTAAATACCCCTCCTTATATCCCAATTTTACTTCCCCTCCCAAATGGTAAAAACAAGGTACTCGCCCCTGGTAAAAAAACAATACGAAACAAGTGAAATGAGAAAATGTACATAGATAGATAGATAGTAGGTGGAGGTGACTTGTGAAGTGAATGTGACTAAAAGGGTGGAAAATGACACAATCAGTAATAGCTAATAGAGGTAATTGAGTAATTAGTCATCTTTAATGTCTTGGGCCTGTCTATTACCATTAGTGGGTAATGTAGAGAGAGATAGAGGAGAGAGAGAGAGATGGGATGATGCTTTTCGATTTGGTTAACGTCGGAAAGTTGTGTAAGAAAGAGATGGTTCTTTCTTTCCCATTTCTCCTTAGGACAACCAATAAGAAGATAAAATGAGAGAGATACACAACAAGAGAGAGAGATAGATTTTTCAAATCAGTAAAGTATTAGTAGTACACTTCAAAGAAAGAGAATCCAAACAGAGAGTGATCTATCTATTGAAGAAAAAAAAAAAAGTAAACAAGGTTTCCAGTCTCCTGATGATGAGTGAGAAACAAATGAGTTTTAGAGAGAGAACGGGTTGCCACTGAAACCCCTAAAGTTGTGGCTCTGATGCAATAGCAGTACTCATAAACAACTCAAATCTCTCAAACCTCAAGCTTATGAGAATATATATGTATTTATATACGTATATTGTTTAAAGTGATTGAGAGGTCGAAGTGTTTGAGAAATGTGGGATCTGAACGACTGGCCTAGTCAGAGAAGGGATGATGAATCTGAAGGTGGTTCTTCGCCGGTCGACGGCGAAGACGACAACGACAAGGGTAAAAGGGTTGGATCCGAATCGAATTCGAGCTCCTCTGCGGTGGTGATTGAAGAAAATTCCGAGGAAGAGGATGGCGAAAGAGGAGGGAGAAAGCGGAGCAGCAAGATATTCGGGTTCTCGGTGTCTCCCCGCCATGACCTTAACTTCCCGTCGCCGGTGACGAGGCAGTTTTTCCCGGAAATGGGGACCACATCGGACGGTGCTGGCGTAAACGGAGCAACAAATTTGCCCAATGCTCACTGGGTCGGAGTCAAATTCTGCCATTCGGAGCCTGTTGCCGGAATTGCCGGGAAGACGTCGGAGATTTCGCAGCCTCTAAAGAAGAGCCGCCGTGGGCCGAGGTCTCGTAGCTCGCAGTACAGAGGCGTTACCTTTTACCGGCGAACCGGCCGGTGGGAATCACATATATGGTTAGTCTTCTTTTATCACAGTGTTTGTGTGTGTATGATATATATATAGATCCACTTTTTATTTTTATTTTTTACTTTTGTCTTTTGGGATTCATTTCTTAAGGAATTTTGATCATTTACTCCACTACTACTCATAATAAAGCTTTGTTGTTTGATTGTTTGCGTTTCAGGGATTGTGGGAAACAAGTTTACCTGGGTATGATTTGTTGTTTATTAATAATATCTTTCAAACTGTTCGGAAAAAATAATAATAATAATAATCAAAATCTCTTTCAATATTTTTGGAAAAGTGGTTAATTTCTTTCCGTTTGATTAATTGTTTGTGTACATGTAGGTGGATTTGACACTGCTCATGCCGCTGCACGGTAAGCTTGTAATAAATATAGACAGACATTCAATCACTATATATTTTAATTTTCTGTACAAAATTTTCTATGGAAAATGTGAGTGAGACTGATATATATGTAGAAAATTTTCAGTGCATATGATAGGGCAGCTATCAAGTTTCGTGGTGTGGAGGCAGACATAAATTTCAGCCTTGAAGATTATGAGGAAGACTTGAAGCAGGTATATACGTTTACATATATATATATGTGTGTGTGTGTTGTGTAGAGAGATTCTGTAATCTTTAACTTTGGTCTTGCCTTATCTTGTACAGTGCAGCTTCTTCTTCTTTTTTTCTTTTCTTTTCTTTTCTTTTTTTTTTTTTTATGTTCAAGATTTTTTTTTGTAAATTACAGTGCAGCCCTATCTTATATATGCATGTCATTATTCTTGAATTTTATGCAACAGATGAGCAACTTAACCAAGGAAGAATTTGTGCATGTCCTTCGGCGGCAAAGTACTGGTTTTCCTAGAGGAAGCTCCAAATATAGAGGTGTAACCTTACACAAATGTGGAAGATGGGAGGCCAGAATGGGCCAATTGTTGGGGAAAAAGTAAAAATACCATTTTTTTTTCTTTTCTGGAAGATGCATGTCTTTGTTTATGCTGTATCAATAATGCATCTGTGTTGAATTTAATTTAAACAGGTATGTGTATTTGGGTCTCTTTGACACTGAAATTGAAGCTGCAAGGTATGTTTGATACCGACCCTATTTCTGATTTTTTTTTTTTAGTCTTGAAACTTTGACCTAGAGTAAATTTCTGATATTTACTTAGATTCAATCATTTGGAACAAATAAATCAAACCCAAGTCTGTTGGTGGCTTGGTGCTTGATAATTTTGGTATATTTTTGCAGGGCTTATGACAAAGCTGTGATTAAGTGTAATGGCAAGGAGGCTGTCACAAACTTTGATCCCAGCGTCTATGACAATGAGCTCAATTCCACTGGTAGTTAATGAAATGTTCTTTAATTTCCTATCCTGGGTTTCAACTTCAATTCAGTGTTGGCATCAATTTGCTTATACATAACGTGTGTTTGTGTATATATATGTATGCGTGTGTGTGTGTGTGTGTTTATATATATATATATGTATTTGCCAGACCGTGCTGGGAATGTAACAGACCACAATCTAGATTTGTGCTTGGGAAGTTCGGGCTCAAAGCAAAACGGGGGAAATTTGGTGGTTGATATTCAAACCGCCACCGCAATTGATCAGCATCCTGCATCTATGCTTTTCGAAGCTGATTGGCACAATCAGGGATTTAGGTCCAAGGTACATGAATACGACGAACTTGTTTTAATTCTATCCTCGACCTCTTAGGTTGTTAATCCCACACGCACTTATGCATCCCCTTGTGTGTGTTTATAGCATCTTAACAGTGATGCCTACCGAAGAAATGTGTGGAATGAGACTCAAACCACGCAGCTTCCGAGCCAAACCCATCTTCAGCCTTCTTCAAACGCAGCACAAATGCACAGATATGGGCAATTCGTTAAGCCCGGTGAACCACATGTGCTTCATATGCTTCAACCGCAGCTCACCTCATCAAATTATCAAGTGGGTAGTAACTATAATTGCATAAATTTTAATACTTAACCTTGATTACACACATTTTATCAATTGGGTACTGAAATAATTACTCCACTAAGGCAATTACTAATTAGTATCATGTCATTGTAGATTCAGTTTCCAAGCAGCAGCAATGGAGGCCAGATGGCCACAAGCGATCGACGATGGCATCCAATGCCTTCCCAAGTGTTTGCAACTGCTGCAGCATCATCAGGATTCCCACAGCAGATAACTAGACATCAAAACTGGCTCCAGGAAAATGGGTTCTATGCTAGCACGAGACCCTCTTGACCATTCTTATTTTTCTGCTCTTTTACTCTCATCTTCTCCTAATATTATTATCATCAAAGGCTTCATGTTTGTAAGCATTTTAATTCCAATGCTTCAAGCATTTTTTCCAATTCTCAAAATCCTACCGCAAACTCATGCCACGAATACAATCATACGTAACTGTCCTCTCCCCCTGTTCAAACATGAAATTAACTACTTGGTTTTGAAACGGATATCTTTCGTATGGTAAACTTTGGATATGTGCAATTAGCCTATCACAAATATCACGGTATCTAGGCCACTTAAACTTCAAGTATTTTAAAATGTTTGTCATCTGTCAAACATACAAATAGATGAAATCTTCGACTAGATACTCTGGGTTCTGATCTGACCAGAAACTGCTCAACTTTATATCTTCATATGGTTTTGTCGCCAGTAGTCATGGTTATAATGGTTAAAAAAGTCGTCATGTCCTTCTTGCTAGTACATTTGGTATCTAGAGAACTACCCAAAAAAATTGTTAGGTATATATATATATATAGTTTTCGTATATTTAGCTTCTTTTATATATATATATATATATGTTTGTTGTCTATTTTGATGGGTTGTGTATAACAACAGCCATGACTGACTTTATAGTTACCTAATCGAGTAATATGTTCCGTAAGGTGTCATAAAAGGTTGACAAGCTTTGCTTAGATTGTAGTAATTTGTTACTTGAAATTGTCGTGGTTTAGAAGAGAAAATGAAGTGAGCAAAATGGGACTGTTCTTGGAAATATCAGTGGATGGTAATGAATGGTCACTATCTTTTGTGTCCTTTGAATCAGTTCTCTTTGCCCAAAAGGAGTCAGGCTTTACTATTCTGACCAGAAGGACTTGTTTAACCTAATGCTTCGAAGGACACCTTGAGATAGGGAGAGAGAGTGTGAGCGTGTGGGGTAGGTTCAATGGATTTGATTAAATTATAAAAATTCCTAAAAACTATAGTAAAAAATTAAGAAACCTTAAAGTACTTAATAATTTATAGGATCACGTTAATTAATTAATCCGTACACTATCAATCTGTTTTGATGGTATAGTTTTGTGACAATTATTAAAAAAATAGGTGTGTTTTCATCATCCCTGACATCATAGCCAATTATAATAAACTTGGGGTGTTTATTTTTTTTGGTTTGTTTATATTGGAAATGATATTATATATGTTTTTAAAAATATATATATTCTATGATCCAATGTTCAAATATTAAAAGGCCTCAAGCTGATAAATGGATGCATGCCATGTTCTAATATATGAGAGTAAACAAGTCGTGAAAATATTATTTGTTTAACGTTGGTTATAATGAATCTAATCTGAAGACAACAGTTTGAGTAGATAATGTTTAACAGATTCTTCACCAATTTACTTACTCCATTTCACTATCCTTTCAACAACAATTGTGTTCAAAATTTTCTTTTCCATTTAATTTTATATAAAAAAAAGTTGTGTATATATATTAATGTGTTTTTATTTATTTATTTAGGTGTGTATGCATTCTCTCCCATGCTCTGGTCGGGGCTGATTTTGAACAATAACATGATAAAAGCTTAAAAGAAAGTTCTTTAAACTAAAGATTGGGAAATTTTTGATAGCGAAACGTGATTCTTACTTTACAAAAGCACTAAAAATGCATTTTCAAAAAAAAAAAAAAAAAAAAAAAAAGAAAAAGAAAAAAAAATGAAACAATTCTCTTTAAAAAATACTCACATTTTACAATTATGTCTTCTCATTTACTTTAAAAATAAAATGGCGCAAAAAAAAAAAAAAATAATCCATTTTGAGGGAGCTAAATGATATTTTTGTTACAACCATACAAATCAATCATAGTACAAGTATACAAAACTAACATTAATTAAAAAAGTAAAATGAGTGGCATGAGGTGGCTTTTGCCAATGATAGAGACTATTCCCTTATATCAGCGTCCACATCTAAAGGACCAACACTCTATCCATTATTGACAGGATCAACTCAGGACGATGTGATTTTTTTTTTTAAATCCTTGATTAATTAAAGGGTAAGGTTTTGATCAACGTCACTCGATTGACGGTCAATAATTGTTTTTATATTAACACTCCTTAAAATATAAAAATGTGCATTGACATACTCTCCAGATTTTTGAAACTATATGAAATTATCTTTTAACCATTTGACTTGTCAACAACTCCATTTAAATAATGAAATTACAAATTTAACCTCCGAATTAAATTTAATAGACCAAACTAACCTATTCATCTTTTCTATAGATATAGACATAGTTTATATATAATAATACTTATACCACCACAACCACTACCACAACATAAACATAAAAAAGAAAATTAATTTTTTTTTTTAAATAACCAGATAATTGTACACCATCATAACCACCACCACCACAGTAGAAAAGAAAAAAAAATTAAAAATAGTCATGGCTAACCCATACTTATACTTCCCAAATGCCACCAGAACTATCACCACACAAAGACAACACCACCAGCACCATCACCACACCAAAACAACACCACTAACACACCCAGACGCTACTAGAACCACCACCACCACTGCAATAGAAAAAATAAAAATAAATATTTTGAAATACCTTGATAACCTAAACATTACCATAACCACATCACACCCAAACCACACCACAACAACCACCACCAGAATAGAAAAAAAAAATTAAAAACAATCATGGCTAGTCCAAACCCACCACAACAGAAAAGAAAAGAAAGAAAAAAAAAAAAAAATAGAAAAAAGAAAAAAAGAAGAAGAAGCAGCCATGTCCAAGATCGGGAAGAGAGAGAGGGAGTGTCGGCTGTTAGGTATTGAAATGAAAAAAAAATAATAATAAAAAATAAATAAATAAAAATTAGGGTAGAAAAAGAGGCTTAATCATGAAGGTAATTTCATCAATTAACAGGGCTTATATTTTTAAATTAAATAATCAAGGACAAATATAATATTTGAAACCACATGGAATGTCATTGTTAAGAGGGATAAAGAGTATTTGGTTTTATTCTTTTAAAAAAACAATAATAAACTTTTTTGTATAACTTCACTGGGTATTATTGAGTCTCACTAATAATATCCATCAATAATCGTAAAAAAGTTTCAAATCCCTATAGTAGGAAGTGGGTGTGTGAGTGTTTCTTGCCTTAGAAAGAAAAGAACAATAGTGTACATCCTCATTAGTGAGAATCAAGCATTGTTTGAAAAAAAATAAGTATATATCAATAATCGTGATTCGTGACAAGCCATTAGAAGTAGAGGAGGCAACCACCAAACTTTCCAAAAATGCAGATGGGGTTAGTTTTTAATGCAACTCTAGGGTTACAACTTTAATTTCCGGGGAAAACACACACACACACACATTCTAGGGTTAAAACTTTTCCTTGGAGAAACCTTGGCTGTTAACGCCAGCTCTTCTATCCCATTGTATTTCTTATGATTGTTAAGCTGAGGTTGCTCTCTGGACCATTGTGAAGGTGGTACCCCAAAAACCTACAAGGATCAGTTTTTCATCTTTGGATTATGAATTTATGATCAGCTAGAAACCTAGTCTGGAAATGATAGTTATTTTTACCATATAAAAGAGCTGAGAAAGATCAATAGGCTACACTATTCATGTTTTCCTACGAAAATTGTGAAAATTCAGAATGCATGCCCTTTTGTGGCAATTTCATAAAATTTGAGACACAGACCACATCAAGAATGTACCCATCCTACTCAAATGATGGATGAGAGAGAAATAAAATAGAAAACAAGATATGAAGGATGATTGAAGCTTTGAATTGAAGAAAAATGGTCGATTTTTTCAGGCCCCCTGTTAGAATGACAACAAAGTAATTCACCCATCACATCTGAGGACAATGCTTTCAAACAAATGCTAGCACATGCTCAAGTTGACTGCTACAGGTCATATGATCAATAAAGACAAGATCAGACAGATGACAACTTAATATTTGATTTTTGAGATGGCTTCCCAGATTTAGTACCCGCTTTTGGTCAAAGAACACAAAAACAAAAATACAAAATTGGAATTGTGTCTGCATTGCAAACTAACCTAAATCTCCCTTTACTCCTGTTGAATTCTCAATCTCTGTATAATACAAACTTTGCAATGTCATGGAGTCCGGCCTCCTTGTAACATGCAGCAATTTGCTCTGCGAAGTCATCCCATGTCCCCTCCACAGAAGCTAAATCCAACAAAAAAGCAGCTTCATCCAATGCAACCTGTGACAGAGAGAGAGAGAGCATGTCTTTAATCATAAATTTAATTTGTTTAGATGTCTATATAATATGAATGAATTAGTAATAGGAAACTGTTTTGTTGTAAAACCTGAGCAGGTGCCTTTCCCTTGTTTAGATCTTCCTGCTTTCCCTCTTCTGTCACCTTCTCCTTAATGTACTCAATTTGTTCATCCTCCCATTGAGCTATGCCAGCAACTTCCTGAATGGAATTGACCAAATCAAATAATCAAATGCATGGAAAAAAGATTGCCATGGTAGCGAAGAAAATGCAGCATATGATGATGGCCTGAAACATTGGTAAAGGGGTCCAGACCTCGTATTTGCAACCCAACGTCCACCATGGTGATTTCAAGGCCCCCCTAGCGGCATCTTTAGCTTCTAGCATACGCCCAACCCTATAAAATGCAAAACAAGCTCAAGACACTTAAAATGGTGGTTAAACATTATACACCAACTTCTTGGATGAAGAAAGGGAATATCTCTACAAACTTCAGCAAGACCTCCGCATTAAATACAAAAGGCCGTCCAAATCCTGGAAAATGATCCTTCTTTGTATAGAACTCCCCAGTCACCATAGCTGAAACCTTCCACCGGCATGCAGAAATAATTAAGAATATGAACACAGAAAACTTTCATTGCTCAAAAAATCAACCCAGATTAATTTAGTCTTACATGGTCCCCCTTTTCAAAATGGTGCATCACTTTGCGTTCCAATATATCTGGAAACAAACCAACCTGAAATACAGAGCATTCTTTATGGCAGTTCTTAAAGACAGCTGATATGAGATACAAAGTAGATGCCCGTCTGGTACCTTTCTTAAAAGATATGCATCTAAATTTGAAATCTGAGATTCAGCAAAGTCCCCCTTCTTATAAAGTTTCTCGCCAGCAACACCTGAAGCATGAAATAGCTCATTGTTGCTTTCTTGAGAATTGGTGGCATCTTCTTCTACCAGGATTCTATGAATATATTGGTCCACCTGCATTCAGATCAGACAGAAAGCAAATGGTAAGGTTTAGTTTTGTATGTGTCATGTACACAGTGCATATTGAAGAATATCAAGTTACGAAGTTGCTCCAGAAATGAACTTGGCAATGTCTTACATTTTTGGCCAAAAGCCACACTCCATAATTACTAACCTCCACCACGGGCATCTCCATCCTGCATGTATCGGGGAAGATAAATAAAGAAAAAAAAAAAAATCGTAAGAAATGATCAGCAGTTTGAGTTTTTTACCCAGGTGGAGCAGTTGGCCATCGCAGCAGCGCAGTTACTGAACCTATAAACAAGAGAATCAGATAGGAAGATAGAACATCTTCAATTAAAGAGTTTCTTCAGAGTAGCTGCTTTGAAATAAAGTCACTGCTTTATCCAAACCTGAGCTGTTTTTTGATAGAGGGATGGCCAGGGGGATCAAACCTTGCTTGGCTCCAGGAGAAATTATGGGCTCACCTGTTGACATGTGAAATTATGACATGAATAATACGAGTCTATAATATGACCAACAAGATACAACTTCATCTTTGCTTTATTTTATCCATTTTATTTTCCTCCTACAGGTACATACAAACAATTTTTGTGATAAGGTATTATTATGCATTCACAGAAAGTACACCTGATGGGTCTACAAATGATATGCTCTGATACCCAAGGGGTTAGCTCAAGTGGGTAAGTCACTTGGCCCTGGTGCCTCGTGAAGCATCGGGTCTAAGGATCGACTCTTTTAAGTGCAAACAATTCCTTGGAGAGAAGAGCGGGGGGGGGGGGGGGCGCAAAATTTAGTAGATTGGGGAATTTAAAGAACAGCATTTTAACAACATTCATTCACGGTTTTGAACAGGAAATCTCACAAAAAAGGACTAGTGTGAGTATCTGACCCAAAATTTCATTTTTGGAGAAGTGACAATCCACGTGCATCTTCAGCGAGTCATGTGGTATCCCCACAGTATTCCATGTGTCACTTCTGCAGCTTCATACATGGTGTTCACCTCATGAACGATATCCAAGGATTCCCAATCTTGCAGATATATGATTAATCATAATCCAAGTCCCACAACCTCAAGACTAACGGTCAAGGTGAAGGTAAAGGCATACCTACCATGTAATTCTACATCACAACTCCAGAATGTTTGACTGCATCATTTTTTGACAGCGCATTCGCCATTCCAGCAGGTTTATTTATTCCTTCTAGTTAAGCTCTCATCTTCAACAAGCTTTTCTTGCCTACAATAGGCATTATTATCTTCGTTATCTTCGCCTTACCAAGTTTTTATCTCCGGAAACTTATTGTCTTCAATGGGACTTAATTGTGCACTTCTTCAACCACACAATGCATCTCTCTACAGACAAGCCCATATTATTTTCCTTCTCCGAAGGCACATCTATGAAGGACTGGCAGATCTTGCTGCATTTGGCACAGGCATATATGATATAATGAGAATCTCCTCTCCTTGTATAATAATACCATACACATCTTGACTCGAATAAGTCTAGCTACCTTTCCTACAAGCACTTACAAACTGAAGACCACTTCACTCTATTACATTCCATGCACTGTTTGTGTTGGGAGGAATTAAGGGACTTCTATAGCTCGGAGCACAGCATCATCATGTCATAGTCCCCTGTATGGATAATGATATGGCTAACTCACCATAAGCAGGCATGTCATAACCCCATAGAAACCTAAGAAGCACTTGCCTTAGTGGCTAAAGTCCAAGACAAGTCAAGGTGACCTTCCATCCAGAGTTGTGTATTTCTTGATCGGACTTAAGAGGAAAGACGTCACATGACTCCCTGATGACATATGCCCTTAAGCCCTTTATAATGTGGTGACACCTAATTCTACATGTGGTACCACAGGACTGCCAAATTCATATGTGGATGCATACAATTGAACTCTGGCCAAATCTTAATCAAGATGCTAACCGCCTCGACACCACATGACACTGCATTTGCCACCTTTATTTGGAATTAAGCCATTGCTGCATCCCAATGCACATGGCGATATCCTATTAGACCACAGTACGTACATGTGATAATCTCACGAGATCACCATGTCAGCAGGAACACCGCTTTGCTTCCACCTGATTTATACATAAACTTCTATACAACCCTACACAAACCCTTAGGACCGATCAGAACCCCACCATATTGGAGACCTTACTAAAACCCTAACCTGGAGGAGTTTGCAGTGAGTTCGATACTCCCCTCTCTTTGTTACAAGCCAAAATTGACTTCCACCAAATTCAATCCACCAGACATTTTTATAGAGTTACATATCATACTTCCACATCCTACTCATCAACAAGAACCGAAAATAGACCTGTTAATTAACAATGCTTGGTTACATGAACAAAGGAAGGCACCATAATTTGTGGGAATTCAAGAAGCTTAGCACATTTTTCATAATAGAAATAACACAGTGGGAGCAAATCAAAAATTGCAAACCAGAAAACCACATGGGGAAGATAAGAACCAATTGACTCTACAGAAACCAAAACTGGTGGAAGGGATATAAGATAACAGAGCTAAAACATCAAAGAATATTAGAGAGCTTATTAATCAATACAACATTGTCAATATACAATAATTTTAATCTTAATGTAGTCTTGTTGACAAGCCTGCTAAAATACAACTAGAAAAGTATATTTGGACAAGGTAAGCCTTATTACAAAAAGAAACTTTTAATATCATTATATTCTCAGAACAGACATTCTCTACAATGCTAAATGTTATGCATGCCTCTAGGCTTTCCCTCCCAATATCCTGTGCAGGCAGGACTAATGACCCTTTTGGTTGTTCAGAAAAAAACTATTTACATTGACATAAGTCCTATACGGGCTTAATTCCTGGACGTATCATGAAATAGGCCACCGAAGTGTCTTGATTATTTATTTATTATTGTTATTATTACTTTGATTAGTACCGAAGAGTCTTGATTATAACAATAAATAAATCATAATGTGAGCCCAACCACAAGCCACACTAAGGAACTTCTTTCCATGGTTAATGCACTCCCCAAAATTGATTATACATTATAGGGCCAGCACCTCAATAATTTTTAAAAATGGCACAATAATGTGAGAACAACCAATTTTTACACATTAAAAAACCAATGGATGTAATCAGCAAGGAAGAAGATTCTAAAAGACACTTGATGGATGAATAAGTCAGCTTCTTAAAATTAATCAACAAACCAAACTATGCTCAGGAGAATCATGGTTTAAACAATCTAGACCACATAGAGATTGAGCAATGCCTTACCTCTTACTTGAAGCATTCTCAAAAGATGCTGCAAATGCTCAGGAGGTCGAGTTACAGCAACATCTTTGATAAATGAGACATGGTCTGCATATGAAAATCGAAGTTGTTAAAACTTAAAACAAATATTGGATTTATAATTAGTACCAACTTATTACCAATTCTCATAACTGGAAATAATTAAGAGATAGAATTTATCAATTAACCTATTCCTACCCCAAATATATTATAGGTTGAAGCCAATATCTGCTTAATTTGCTAATTCAATGGAGAGACATTTGAACAAACACATATAAAAATGGAGTGAAAGTGTACTTTCCGTGTAGTTGTACTCATCAGCGAGAAATGAGATTTTTATTTTTAAACTTAAAATGCATTTATTCGACAGTAACCTCAAGAATTGATACAAACTTATTTCAGTTCTACAAGAAACGATATTCATCTCAAATGCTGTAATGAAAGAGAGAGAGTTGAATATACCCAACATAAGCATCTATATGCATATAGTACTATTAAACTATACCAGGAGAGGATGAAGACGATAAAGAGGAATGGCATCGAAAGGAAGCTCCGCCGCGGCCAAGTAGTAGCGTGGGGAAAGCGGCGGCGCGTACACCTCCGGACACCAATCCGCCGCCCACCTTCATACCTTGTAGCCACCAAGCTTTTTTTTGGGTCTGTTGGTGGATATATCGTTATAAGCCACTAGGATTTTATCTATGTGGGGCCAAGTTTTAGATGGGCTTCCTAAATCACGATCCACAAACAAAGCGAGAAAAGTCCAACACAGTACCGAGTCTTGTATCGTTGGGGATTGAACGATTTTCACAAATTTGGGTTTGGGCTTATTTTGCTAGTTTTTTTTTTTTTTTTTTTTTTTTTTTTTTTTTTTTTTTTTTAAGTCACAACACATGCACTATTCAAATCAGAAATGCGATTCAAAAGTAAGATTTTAAATACTTAATTACCTATCAAATCTCTGCCAATGCTGCTATGTAGGGCTGCAACTCGGGCGAGCCCAACCCGAAATAACCCGAACCCAGCCTGAATTTTTGTGGGATTGGGCAATATTTTTCTAATTTCGGTTTAGGCCTGGGTTATATATTTTGAGTCCGAATTCAATTTGGACTAGGCTTGGGTTGATCTAGATGCATCCCGAACCCAACCCGAGCCCAAAAATAATATATATATATATATATATATATATATATATATATATAATTATACTTAAATCACAAGAGTGTAGTAGCTAAGTTGGTAGTGTGTTTGTGATTTAGACTTTTAAGTCATTGGTGCAACATTAATTGATTTATTTTTTATACAAAAATTCTTCTGAGGTGGGCTTAGTGCGGGTTCGGGCTGGACAAATTATGTATGGGCTGGGCTTAGGTAGCTTGGCTCGGGCTTAAGGCAGGCTTGGGTTGAAAATTTTCTATATCGGCCTTGTAACATTTTTGATTTTCGGCATTTTTCATTTTTCCCAAGATTTTGTCGCCGCAAGGGCATTTTCGTCTTTTCACGTCTTGCGTATGGGGATTGTAGTAGAGTCCAATTGCATTTGTGCATTTTGATTTATGTGGGTTAAGTGGTATTTGTATGTGGTGCATTTATGTGTATGAGGTGTAAAATAAAGAATAAAGAAAAAGGGAAAATCAAATAAAATTGTGGGGCCCACCACTCACACCTCTAAGTGGTCTAGAGACCACAATTCTCACCCATTTTTCTCTCTCCACGTGGCTTCTCTCTCTCTCATTTCCTCTTCCTTTTTCTTTCAAATTGAGAAGCAAGCTTTGGATCTTGATTACTCACTCAATTCTTGGAAGTTTTAAGTGTCGTTTGAGACAAATCGAAGCCCACGACAAGGCCTACGTATCCATACCAACAATTTTAAATTTGGAGCTTCCTAGCATTTTCGAAATTATTGGCCTATTTTAAAGGATTTGTTTAAAATCAAGGTAAGGACTCTTAATCCATGAGTTCTTGTGCTTTTGTAAGTTAATCTCTCTTAAATGATTGTTTGGTGTGCTCAATTTGTATAGTTTCTAGCCAACTGATTAGTTGTGATGTATATTTATCAATTTTGTGCAATTATGTGTGATAAAATGGTCTATGTAAAGAACATGCCTATATGTTGATTCTTTACATGCCTATTATGCTAAATGATATTGTATGAAAGCATGTTGTAGCTTTCTTGGAAATTCTCATGAATTGTGTTTTGCTAGTTCAATTTGAGTTAATTGTGAAATGATGAACATTGACATGATATAATGCATTTATGCATTTACATTGGGTAAGAAATGGGAAGAATTGATTTTGAAATGAAAAAGGGGAGTTTTGGGATAGAATGTATTGATAAAAGTGTTTTGATAAAACCCGGTCGCTGCGGAGTCACCAACGGGCCGGTAGGTTAATGTAACCTAGAAGGAACGAGGGAGATTGCCCTAGCATGATTGAGCTATCTGGGCCCCATAATGCTGCTGCGGAGTCACCAAAGGTTAGGGACCGTAGCCAATCCTTCCCTCGGCGCTGCGGAGTCACCAAAGGGGGTTACATTAACAGTTTGAAAGAGATGGTTTTGAGAAAAGAAAATGGGTAGCGACATTGGCATACATTTGCATTCCATGGCATTGCATTATTTGTAATAGTGTTTAGTTGGAATGTTGTATTACCCCGACATTGTATGATTCCTACTTCCATTGATCTATTCTATGTTTGGATTCACGAGGATACAAGAGACGTGTCTTAAGTGTCACCTACTGAACATATTGCTCACCCCATCATATTCTACATTTTTCAGGTCATGAAAAAGAAATAGCTGAGGATAATCCTTCTCAGCTTTAGCTTGGAGTAGGAAATGTCTTTTTGCTAGGTTTTGTAGTTGGACTTAATTTTGTAAAAATGTAGACTCAAAATGCATCATTTTTTTTGCAACAGGTAAAATATTTGGATTTATTATGTACATGGCCATTAGGCAATGTAATTAAGTTTTACTCACTCAAAATCAGTTTGTGTATTTTAAATAACGTGGGGCAAATTACGTTAACAACGTGGTTGTTATTATTACAATTTAGTGTTGAAATGTATTTAATTTTGTACGTGAATGTAGTGGCGGGGTGGTAAATTACCAAATGTTGGTGTAATTGAGTTACCGGTCGATGTGTGGCCTCCCATACGTCGACCGGTATCTTGGCAACCCGTGGACGTAACGTCGACCGGTATCACGTCCCAAACCACTCGACGTATGGCTTGTCGACCGGTATCTCGGCAGTGGGTATATCCACTGTTCATAACCCAAACCAGTCGACGTATAGTATACATACGTCAACCGGTTTCTGCCTTTTAATTAAACTCTATTTTAGTTTCCCAAATTACACTTTGGCACCCAATTGATGTTACGCGTATTTATTTTATGGCTCAATAAAATTTAATAATTATATTTTAACCACCGAAAGGGCTATATTGCCCCAAACTTTATTTTATTTATTTTGTGATCCAAGTTAATGACTATTATACCCTTTGAGTCTCAAATTATTGAATTGTGGCAATTTACCATTTTGTCCTTTTTGGACCATGATATTTAAATTTAACGTGAAATTACCGTAGTACCCTCGGATGATTTTGGGTCGGGAAAGGTCCCGTTTAATGATTCGGATCCATGAGGAGCTGGGTCGTTACAGGCCTAACCCAAGATGAGTGTCAAGCTCGCCCAACCCGCCCGAATTGCAGTCCTACCGTTATGCCCCGAAGGCTTGCTAAGAGGGGTTTGATAGATGTATAATTCATGTTGCACTTTACAATACTGAAACCACTATTGTCACACCAAATACATATTGTTCAAGAAAAGAAATATTGCACTATATAAATCACATCTTACTCCATCTATACAATCATACTTATTATTGCAAAAAATCGAAGATAACTATAAGAAAATAAAATTATTATTATTATAATAATCTGTATATTAGTTAAGAATTTTTAAAAAACTAAGGAGTATTTGTTTTTTGTTTTTCCGAAAGGCATGAAATAAATTAAGACATAAACAAAAGAAGTTGAAAAGAAAATTAAAGATGATCATATAAATTGAATATTATATATAATGTATTAAAAATAAAATATATATATGAAAATAATTTAAAATTTTATTTGAACTCCGATTGCTAATACCTCAATTCAAGTCCAATCCTACTTATATTTGGGTTAAAAGGTTTTAATTCAAGCCCAACTTTAAGGAAAATGCTAAAGATTACCAATGGATTTTCGTCAATTGTATCACAATTGATGTGGATTTTTATTTTTGAAAATAATTAAGCCAAATAAGTCAAATAATAAGAAAGTTGACTATTTATTTTGGGGAAGAATTAATCGGAGAAAAAAAAAAGTCTTCCAAAAAACTAATCTTGTAAATTGTTTTGTTTTGTCCATCTCTCAGTCTAGGGTTCGTTGTGTGTCTTGTCCATTTCTCAATTTAAGTTAGTTTTTCTTTTTTCTTTTTTTTTTTTTTTTTTTTTTGGCACTGATGAGTTAGGATGATACACACACACATATATATATATATAAGATGAATGGTCACGTTGCAATTTGAATGAAATATAATTGGAGGGTTGGATGACTTTCAAATCAAAACAAATTCATAACATGCAATCTATAAACTAGTTACTATGTTAATATTTTACAGTGTCAATTCGACCTCATATCACGTAAGATAAGTGTGTGGATCGGATGTAGATGAAGTGTGTTTCACCCACTGCTTAATTTGTTAGGTAGATGAAGTGTTTTTCACCCACTACTTAATTTGTTATTTAATCTAAAATAAAGTTAAAAAAATGTAGATAAAGCACTGAAAATAGAACTCATATATTATATATATATAGAGAGAGAGAGAGAGAGGGATTAGGAGGAATATGAGAAAAATAAGGTAATAAAAGGACTAAAATTCATATTTGCCATAAATATGCCATTTTGTGTTAAATGTCATGAATTTTTATTTATTTATTTATTTATTATTATTATTTTTTTCTTGACATGAAACAGTACTGCTCCAACTTTAATTATAAAAATAGTTGCTCAAATACGTATAACAATAAAGTGAAGCTTGAGTTGGGTTCGGATTGATCGGTCCAAATTGCATCCCTAGAATAAACACAACATATAAACCAAACTTTCCTTGGTTATTAGTTTAAGGTGATAAACAAAATTTCTAATGGTCAATATTCTAGCAAAATGTCATAAGCCTCTCTAGTAGTGCGGGTAAAGGAAGCCCTAGTCAAATGGAGGTCAGGTTAGGAAAAATTTTGGCGTTCGGATCCCATCCCTTCTATACTCTATAGTCTTGCTGTACACACAACTGTCACGTTTTGAGTTTTTTTTATTCAAAAGCAAAATAAGCAGCAATATTAAATCTTTCAAACGGTATAACGTATATAATATTATAAATGAATGGTGGCTTTTATAAATGAGCATTCTGATCCTAATAGAAGAATGTAAAGATTAACAATTCATTTATAATATTATTTTATTATATTCTACAAATTGAGAAAGAAATTGCAGACGCGTACAATGTATATTACCAAAAACAAGGCCAAAAGAAAAAAAAAATGTTATTGTACGTTGGGAAATATAGAGCATGTGTTAAGTTGAGTTTGGATAGTAGCTTTTTTGAAACATCCAATAATATATCAAACTCTTGAGTTTGGATGCATGAGTTGTTGACCTGTGTTTAGGGGTGAAATGCTAGTCGTAACATTATTTATATATTTATTATTTGTGGGTGTTTTGAAGAGCTCATGCTGTTGGGATATATATATATATATATATAATTGCTTCGAGCAAGACCTCAATTTCTGAAATATGTATTTCCAAGAAGTAGGAAATTCTTGGCATCCTTGCGAAAAAAGATACAAAAGAAGAAGGTGAAGAAAAATGATTGATATATGGTTTTTTTTTCATTCCTTTCATACTAATCTAGACTTTGCTTAATTTGTGTTAGTTTTAGTGTATCTGACTAATACGGAATGTATGATCATATGTGTGTGTGTGTGTGTGTAAATGATAAGTTAATTAGCACTCGCTAAAATTTGACCACACCTAAATGAGCTCAAATTGCTTCAGTATTTGAAATCTACATGCCAACCTATTAGTTGACACCTACCCGTTTAGAAATAATTTGTTGAAACTGCGCGCAAAGAATGACCGTTAAGGACAGTTTTTCATTATTCTATATTGTTCCTTATAATATTATAAATTTTGGTTACTGTACCTGCATGTTGCGTCGAAAGAATGGAGATGCTGTCTCTCCATTATTGGCTCATCTATCGTTCTCCATATATATAAATATATATGTTTGCATATGTGTACATTTCTCGTCCCGTCAACGATACTAGTTAATACACACTACTAGCTAGTAAGAGAGAGCAAATTAAAGAGATGGCAGAGATTCGCTTGACAACTACTGTCCAACCCGCAAGTCATGATCGCGAATCAACTGATGGTTTGCGTATTGACTTAACTCCATGGGATCTCCAGCTTCTTTTAGTTGGTCCCATCCAAAAGGGACTTCTCTTCCTCAAACCATCACCTTCACACAGACACAGTAGTACTATCATCGATCACCTCAAAGCCTCCTTCTCTCGAACCCTAGACTTCTTCCCTCCTCTCGCCGGCCGTCTCGCCACCCTCAAAAACCCCGATAACACCACCTCCTTCTCCATTCACTGCAACAATGCCGGGGCACAGTTCATTTATGCTGTGGCTCCAAATGCTACCGTGGCCGACATCCTTGAGCCAGTGTACGTGCCTCGCTTTGTGCACTCCTTTTTCCCATTAAATGGAGTTCAAAACCGCGAAGGCGTCTCCAAGCCCTTGCTTGGGGTGCAAGTCACTGAGCTGGGCGATGGATTCTTTATTGGTTGCTCCATCAATCACGCAGTCGCTGATGGCTCATCTTTTTGGAATTTCTTCAATTCATGGTCGGAAATTTCCCGCGGTTTTGACAAGATTTCACGGCCTCCTGTTTTGGAGCGTTGGTTTCCTAATGATGTTGATTGTCCCATTGGTATTCCCTTGTGTGACAAACAACTCAATGGTGGGTTCATTAGTTTCCCCCCACAATTTCAAGAAAGGGTATTTCATTTTACCAAAGAAAAAGTTGCGGGACTCAAAGCAAAAGCAAATGCTGAAATGAACACTAGTCGTGTATCCTCTCTTCAGGCGCTTATGGCTCATCTATGGCTATCCATAATACGCTGCAGAAGAAGTACTAGTCGTACTGTGGATGCTGACGAAGAGACGACGTTTAGGTTGGCGATTGGTGTGAGGCCGAGGTTGCAGCCACCATTGCCACAAGAGTATTTTGGAAACGCCATATACTTTGAAGCCGTGACCACAAAAGCTGGTGAGCTGCTCAAGCACGGACAAGGTTGGGCTGCTTCGGAGATGAACAAGGTAATTGCCTCTCAAAAAGATGATGGAATAAGGAACTACTTCAAGTGTTGGGTGAAAAACCCTAGGATATTGACAATGACTTCGATGACCAGCAATGTTGTGCTCCCGAGCAGTTCACCTCGGTTCAATGTGTATGGTAATGACTTTGGCTGGGGAAGACCGGTGGCGGTGCGAAGTGGCGAGGCTAACAAGTCTGGTGGGAAGGTAACATTTTTTCAGGGGGCGGAAGAAGGGAGCATTGATATTGAAGTTTGCTTGTTGTCCGAGACATTGATTTTCATGGACGATGATGCAGAGTGTTTGTCACCATGTGAAGCCCACGTGATGAAATTGAAACCTCTATTTATTTTTACTATTTACATTTGGAACAATTTGAAGATTTTGAACTAGCCTTTTTTTTTTGTCCTCTGTAATGTTGTGAACTTCATGTTCCAATAATCAGAAATAAAATATGTTCAAGATTTTAGAGATACTGGAATGAATGAGATAGAAAAAAGAGATATTAGATCTTACGCTTCACGTACATCTAAATAATCATACTTAATGTTGCACAAAATCAAAGATAACCATAAGAAAATAAAACTACTACTCTAACAATCCTTATATTAGTTAAGTACATTTTTTTGAAATATTCCTATATATTCTTTTGAAAATTCTCAATATTTTATCCTTTTTATAACCCTGAGTTTTTCAAATAGCTAGATAGATTATTCTCGAGAGGGATTCTTTTACTTTTGTGAGTGATATAAAAGTTTAACATTATTAATATATTTAAATAAGTTTTTTATTTTTTTTTTATTTTTATTATCTATAACTTCTATGAGTGTTATAAAAGTTTTACCTCAGATTTTCACTTTAACAGTTCTTCCAATAAACAATTTATTAATAATTGAGAATCATTGAAGATTGTTAGATATGCTTCTCCAGTTGAACCTGTCATTCAAACGCGCATTATAAATCTGCATAAATAAGCGCACGCGCACGCGCACGCGCACGCGCACATATAAATTTTCTTTCTGAAAAATCATGCAATGTAATATTTAAAGGGGAAGGCTAGCGATTGGGCAAAGCCCAGGTAACTTTATTGAGAGGATCCAATTAGTTTACATGTAAGCCCAAATGAGTAAAAGCAAATCAGTCAGAGTCCAATAGCAGCCCAGGCCCAAAGGACGTGTTCAAAAAATGAATGCTTCGCCCTTGGAGGACGGTGCAAGGCTTGAACATGGCTCCCAGACGTAGAGAATAACCACTTGAGTAACACAACACTTCTATAATTCTGTTCTTCACCCGATTATAAAGGGTAAAAAAATAATAATAATAATAATAATCCTATTGAATTCAAATAATTTCTTAGAAGGGTGTGTGAGTAACAACTAGGAAAAAAAAAAAACAAAAACTCATTTGAAAACCCAAAGACAAAATAAAAAAATAAGAATAATAAATCCGGCCTTGGGAATATTTAGAAAGAACAAATAGTTTAAGGAGACAAATAAACAATCCAAAAGATTCACTAAATAAAAAAATCATTTACCGAATAACACAATACAAAAATAAAAGAATCATGACGTGGCAAACTAATATTCGACCGACACAAGAGCATACCTCATAATCAAAACCAACCAAACATATTCTCAAATTAAGTGGAATCCTAGCCTCACCAGGCTTTCTAGAACCCAACACAGTACCAGGAATTATTTGTACAAGAAAAACAAAGCTTATAAAGAGAGTGGGACAGACTATGGGAGAGCTTCGGCCTATCTTTTTTTAAGTAGTGATAAACAAAGCTTATATAGAGAGTGGGCTTGGGCCTTATCAGAATGGCAAACATATAAAAAACGTGCCCGTACTTCCCAAGTGCCCCAAGTGTTAGAAGGGCATCATCTTATATGGATAGAAAATGAATGAAGCATATATGACCGGCACTGGGTCAGATGATAAGCACTTGACAGGCTAGAGGGATTGTGGTCGTGATTCAGTGACAATGATCGGGTATGACGATCGAAGAGGGATGAGTCGTGTTGGAGTGACAATAAAAGCGTTACGAGTATAAATGAAAGAAAAGTGAATGGCGGGAATTACACCTTAGCCCAATGGTGATAAGAACAATAATTTTGTGGTGAGTTATGACATGGACCCCACTGACGCCTATCAAACTACTTGACCCTTTACTATTGGAAGTGCTGGGAATCTGGGACCATGATAAACATATCCACTCCCCGCTAAGGAAGGTGCTTCATTGGGCCCGGGGTCCCCTTCTTAATATTCTCTACTTTTCTAAAGTTATTCCTTAAGCCCAATATAACTCTGCAATACACACACACACAAACTATATTTATTTATTTAGTATGTAATTCTTTAAAAATTTAAAACATCCCTATAAAATTTTCACTTTTTAAAAATCTCTCCAACTCTTTATGTCTTTTCCCTTTTACTTTTTTGCTTATTCGAGTTTCGTTGATCCCTTAAAAAAATATTGCATTCACTTTCTTCAATAAAAACCCCACCTCTCCAAAGGTCTTTCATTTTTTTTTTTTTTTTCCCTCTCTTATTTTCTTTTTCTTTTTAAAATTTTAAATTCTTGCACTCATAATATTATGCATGTGCAATAACATATTTCTCGGTCTCTCTCTCTCTCTCTTCTTCTTCTTCTTCTTCTTCTTTTTTTTCAGTGTAATTTTATGACCTTGATGTTCATATTTTATATTTTTGAACTTTTTGTTATATATATTTTAAAATAATAACAAATTCAGTGTTTGAATTTTGATTAGTGAAATTTTATTTCTGCCTTGTTTCTGCAATGTTAGTTGAAAAAAATTTATCTTGCTCACTGCCGTGATAAAATTGCAAAAGGCTTAATCACTAAATCTATTCAGCTAGTGTTAATTAAAAAAAAAAAAAATTGATGGAGTTTTGATTTCATGGAAGCCAAACAATCTAAATGAAGTGTTAATTGGGAGCCATACCCTGCCATCAAAGTGCGACAAGATATATATAATCACTCTCTATATAATGTAGAGGCAATAATACGTTCTTCGACAGCGACTTTTGCGTTTGCACACATGAGTCACATGTGAGTAGGGCACGCATTAATTAATTCACAGCCATACAATGCCATCAAAGTGGGACATGTCTTATAATTGCTCTCTCTCTATATATGCACGAATATTCCACTAGAGTTGGAAAGATAGAGAGAGTAAAATGGCCGAGATTCGATTCTCGACCAGTGTCCGACCGGCGAGTTATGATCCCGAATCAACTGATACCATTTCTAATGAATTAACTCCATGGGATCTCCAGCTACTTTTATTCGGCCCAATCCAAAAGGGTCTTCTCTTCCTCAAACCAACACACTCACAAGAGAAGCAATTCCTATCAGACAGTGCCACCGTCATTGATCACCTCAAATCCTCCCTCTCTCAAACCCTAGATTTCTTCACTCCCCTTGCCGGCCGTCTCGCCACCGTCAAAAACTCCGATAACACCACCTCCTTCTTCCTACACTGCAACAATGCCGGGGCAGAGTTCATTTATGCCGTGGCTCCCACTGTTACAGTGGCCGACATCCTTGAGCCCGTGTACGTGCCTCGCTTCGTGCACACATTTTTTCCATTAAATGGAGTTCAAAATCGCGAAGGCGTCACCAAGCCCTTACTTGGGGTGCAAGTTACTGAGCTCGCCAATGGATACTTTATTGGGTGCTCCATCAATCACGCGGTGGTTGATGGCACATCTTTTTGGCATTTCTTCAATTCATGGTCGGAAATTTCCCGCGGTTTCGACAAGATATCGAAGCCTCCTGTTTTTTTCGGTAATTTCCCTAATGATATTGATTGTCCCACCCGTATTCCTTTGTGTGACAACCAACTCAATGGCGGGTCCATTAGTTTCCCGCCACAACTTCAAGAAAGGGTATTTAATTTTACCAAAGAAAACATTGCGGGACTCAAAGCAAAAGCGAATGCCGAAATGAAAACTACTCGTATCTCCTCTCTTCAAGCGCTTATGGCTCACATATGGCGATCAATAATACGTTGTAGAAAAAATATTGCCAGTGCTGAGCAAGAGACACAGTTTAATTTGGCAATTGGTGTGAGGCCGAGGTTGCAGCCACCATTGCCGAAAGGGTATTTCGGGAACGCGGTGTACTTTGAGCCCGTGACCACCAAAGTCAGCGAGCTGCTCGAGCACGGACAAGGTTGGGTTGCTTTGCAGATGAACAAGTTAATTGCCTCGCAAAACGATGATGAAATAAGGAACTACTTGAAGTGTTGGGTGAAAAACCCTAAGTTGCTGACAATAGCTTCCATGACAAGCAACGCCCTGCTCCCAAGCAGCTCACCTCGGTTTGATGTGTATGGAAATGACTTCGGGTGGGGAAAACCGGTGGCCATGAGAAGTGGCGAGGCGAACAAGGCTTGTAGGTATGTCACATTTTTTCAGGGGGCGGAAGAAGGGAGCATTGATACTGAAGTTTGCTTGTTGCCTGAGACATTGCGTGCCATGGAGAATGATGCTGAGTTCATGGAGTTTGTCACCATGTGAAAATTGCAGACACCCCGATTGGTTGTATCATTGATATTATTTTATTAATTACATTTGGAACAATCTGAAGATTATAAACTTCGGGTGGGATATTTCTTAGAGGGGTTGAATTAATGGTTTTTTTTATCATTCCAAGGGTTCTTCTGTGAGATTATCTAAGTTGTTTGGGTGTTTTTCTCACCTCAATAATATCTTTGGAGGTTTCCAGAGTCTGTGTTCTCTGTTGTTCTTGCCTTGGGTATGCCCAAGGCTGGTCAGTCATTGTCTGCCTCTGCTTCTTTTTGTACGTACCTTATTATGCATTCTTTATTGAATAAAATCATTCATTCCGGAAAAAAAAAAATTCACTAGGAGCACAAACCTACAGAAACCTGCAGTAAAAAATGTGTTTGTAGTTGCACTATTTTTATGCTATTGCTCCAAAATAGTAATATTAATGATTTATGCTAGGAAGGAAACCAAAAATATCTTCTTTTACTTTTTATTTGTTTGAATGAAAGCAATAGTAGAAAGGATGATGGAGTGGCCATCTTTTTCTATTTGATTGGGAGGAAGGAAAAGAGATAGTTTTATATACTTTTACCGATGGACCTTCATGAATTAAGGTGATTAATTATCTATAAGTTCTAGCTAAAATGCGTTTACTGATCAAGGAATGGGTCAAATAGGGTGGATGCAGATCTTGGATTTGATACATCATGTTTTGTATGTTTTGTAGAAACATTCTAAAGGTAAGAGAAAAAAATAATCTGCAGCAATTCCAAGTAGATAATATAAAACAACGAACCAAATAATGAGAAGTCCAATTGATAAAGGTTAAAATAATTCATTTTGTAATTAAATGAAGTTTAAAGTAGATATTACAAATTTATAGGCTAAATGCACATTTTTTCGTTGCTCTAGATTTTGGGTGAAAAATAACAAAAAATTGAAAAGCATGCGCTCTAAGGAGGGATATATGCTTCCTTCCTCCCTTTTTTATAAGCAAACAAAGCAAGCTTTTCCCCGTCTCTCCTCCCTTTCTTTCCTTCTCAATCCGTCCCTCCAAACAAAAAAAGCATGGTGTGCACCACCCTTTTAATTAATGATATTATTAAAAAATTAAAAAATTACACTGACCATTTAAATTATTTAGTGTTTATTAATCCGGGGAAGTCAATGTAATTAATTTGTTCTTGAAAATGCCACTGATTGTGGCAATCTTTTACTGGCATTTTACAAGAAATGCGACAAAACAGCATCACTTTCATCCAGAAAAAAAGCAAAAATAATTATTGAGGTGAGAAAAATAAGCCCTTTAAGTACCTTTTGCAATCACTTTCAATATACATCATTCTCATAAATAAAAAAAAGCAAACATAATTATTGAGGTGAGAAAAATAAGCCTTTATGTACCTTTGACAACTACATTCAATATACACCACTCTCATCCTTAAAAAAGTAAAAACAAAAAAAATAAAAAAAAAGAAAGATCTTTTCATTGTCTCAAATCTCAATCAATCATAACTATACAACAAAAGGAGTAGTTAAATGAAAATTGTGTTTTTAAACTAAGAAAGTGATATGTGATTGAGACTTCAGAGCAATCAGTTAATCTCTTATTTATATAAAACAGAATGGTAGAATGAAAATTTTATGTTTTAATATTAAGTAGTTGAGAGATTGAGACTTCATAGCAATCAGTTCCTCTCTTATTTCCTCCTCGTGTTTCTTTGTGTTTATTTCTCCTGCACGAGGAAAAGTCGTAACCAAAAGAATTGGTTATCCTATTGGTGTTTCTTTGTGTTTATTTCCTCCTCTTGTACTTAGATCTTTTGGTTACCTGTTGAATTGGTTATCCTATTTGGTTTTATTTGGCTTTCCGTTTGTTATCTTCAGTTAATGCTATATATATATATATATATATATATATATATATATATAATGTCCGATCCATATTATAGATGGAGAGAATGTTTGAGCATTAAGGGCAAAACAAAGTACAGTATCCTAACCAATATTAAATTGTCCTAAGCAAATATAATGGAAACATGACAGACAAAGGAGTAGTTGTATGCATAGACAAGAGGGACCTAAAGGTTCCCACTACTATTGCTGTTGGGCATGTATTTGGCCAGAAAGCTTCCCTGGGGTCTCTAACAATTTCATTTTCTGTTGATGACCAATAATTTTTCCTTTTTGCTTTTAAAATTTATGAAACAGTATTATTTATTATATAAATAAATAAAATCTGCCTAACTTGGTCTCATGACTTTCTTCTAGCTCTTGGCCAAGCTGGGATCGATACGGAACTAGAAACTCATGTAAAGAGGCAATAATGAAATTTTTAAATAATTTTAAGGAGGGCGATGATAATATTTTAAAAAAAATAAAAAAATAAAAAATCAGGGAATACTGGGTCCGTGCCTGCATCTTATAGATCCTAACTTTCATGAGTACGAAGATCGGGATTCATTGAATGTGGTACAACACAAGTATTAACGTATTCTTGCATACATATTCGAAACGTATAAAGGCTTCACAAGTGCAATACCACAGAAGATCCCAGCTCCTGTCCATGTATATAAACAAAAAGCCCGATGTTTGCAAATTAATGTTTGTCTTGTTGGTTACAATTAATGTTATAAACAATTAGGAATGACTTTAGATAAACCAATCAAACTTTCAAATGCTAAAAGCACGTATAATAATTTAGGGCAATAATTTGGGGTTGAGAGGGACCCTTCGAAATAATTGAGGGCCATACGCACGCATCAGGGTGGGACATGACACAATTAGTCTACATACAAGGGGCAATCATACATGCCGATGGCAACAGCTGCGTTTACTCACATGTGGTGAGTAGTCCACCGTGAAACATCACGTTTAATTACTTGATATATAAAGAAAAATAATATATGTCGCGACATTAATGTCATGACTATTCACATGTGATAAGTTCAAGGTAGGACATTGCCCATAATTAATTGCTTTATATATGAAGGCAATGACACATGCAAAAGTAAAACATAGATATATAATTGCTCAAAAAAAATATATATTTATATAGCAATGAGATATCCATGCGACTACTCCCATGTGGTGGGTTTAAAGTGAAACAGTAGATATAATTTTTCAATAATAATAATAAAAAAAAAGAGCAATGATGCATGGTGTGATACACTTGACTAATTCGCACGTGTATTAGTCAAAAGTACGACATCATATTACTTAATATAAAAGAGCAATAATATATGTTCCGTCATTATTACTGTGACTACTAATACGTGATAGATTCATCGTGAGAGTGTATTTTGAATGAATCGATTATGGGTTATATCATTGATATATCATTCAATTAGTAGAACGAAGGTTTTACATTTAAGTGATACCAATGCTATTGAATGGTGTTTTTTAATTAGATTAGTTTTCTAATGATATTGATTGTCCCATTCCTATTCCTTTGTGTGACAAACAACTCAATAATGGGCATTTCATGTTACTAAAGAAAAAATTGCAGTACTCAAAGCAAAGGCTAATGCCGAAATGAACTGCTGGAGCTCACTTTTTTTAAAAGCGGCCGGAGCAGTATTGATGGGAATCGACATTGGCTTTAGTACACTTTTTTCAAAACAATCTCATCACATTATTTTAAATGGTGAATTTCACTATAATAATGGTGAAATTTCATCCATTTTTGCCCCCTAATAAAGCAATGAGCTTAATGTAATATTAATAAAACAGATTGACATGATTTTTTTGTGTCACTAGATTTGCACCGCGAGAACCCTGAACCATAAAGGACTTGGGTTCCAGGGATGAGGGCTTTACCTTCAATACCTAGTCACTTCAAAATATAAATGATGCGAAATTTTCTCCCTAAAGTCTCTAGGCTAGGAAAAATTCTATATAATGCCCGTCTAATTTTTTTTTTTTTTTAATTTTTAAAATTATCTCTTTAACTTTTTATTATGTAATATCCTTGGAAAAAAATAGATTAAATAAATAAATAGCTCTCTATAGATCTTTCTCTCTAACAATTTTAGATGTGTTATCAAGTTATCACACTCAAAAATATATTTAAATTGCTGGATATTGTCATAGTCACGATGGGATTGTGAGGATCTTTGTGGGGGCGGAGTAATAATTGCTGTATGATTCATGTGTTCCAATGGGCTTGATAAGCGGACCTATCCGTTTCAAGTTGAGAAGAAAGATGGGACAAACAATAATTGGTGCTGATGAAATTTATTTATTTTTTTTAATTTTTTTTTTCAAAAAATAAAGCAATATATATATATATACACACACACACACACGATTTAATATTTACAGTGGAGTGCTAAGGGATATGGCAATTCCTTACTTTACAAAGCATAATTTAATATTTACACTGATCCATTTTTGTGTAAGCAGGTGGCTTTTTTTTTTTTTTTTTATGAAATAGTACCTCCACTCACAAAAATGATATTTGTACAGTACTTGTGTACACAAGAGTGATAACTCTGTGCATAAGAGTAATATTTAAATACACAAAAATATAAAATAGCGTGGATGGTTTGGATAAAATTAACAGATTTTTTTGTTTTTTTTCTACAGAATTACATGACTTTGAAATTTTTTAACTCTAGGGGGCTGCCTCGCAAGAAGCTCGTAAGAATATATCCAATGGTATTGTCAAATTTTTGGCAATCCAGCAAATTCACGTCAGCATTTTCTAAAAGTGTGTTGGACTCTCTAAATATTAATTATCCATGTGCTTCAAAGATGCATTTTCGTTCTATAAATTTTTTAACCTTTTTCTAACCCGTATATTTGTAACCGCCAAACAATACAATATCCACTGTCATTTGATATATTTATTTATAGAAGTGAAAACATAGACAAATTTTTTTAAATAAATTTCATTTTGTTAGAAAAAATAATTTTAAAAACAATTTTTTGGCCAATATGTCAGTAGGTGTGCAAAAATATATATGGGCTCGTGGATGGCTCCGCGATTCAGAATTCCTCGCCCAAATTTTGGCGACAACAATGGACTAGCCAAATCACTATTTTGGGCCACCAAAACTCCATATTTTTATACCTATCCCTTGGGCCTTGACTTTTCGATGGGCTTGATATGTTATATGTGGACCAATCCGTTTCAAAGAAATATCAAGAAATTAATAAAGTTGCTTAGTAAAAGTAACGATGGTCGGACCCAACTAAGTTTATGTCAACAAAGGGTGATGGCATACAGTTTTTGGGGTGTGGGAGGACGTCTTTGACTAGGTAGAACTTGTAAGGGCAGCGGCAACTATACTGAAATTGTAGGGGTAGGAAGATTTTGGAAGACCAACAATGTAGGGTTTAGGTAGGGGT